GCAATTATTTGAATTCAATGTTTCTTTCAGGTTTATTGTCCTACCCATATCTTACAAACATTTTCTCTAACAAATTAGATGGCAATCCAAATACAGAACATGGAAAAATCAGACTGTCAAGACTCAACTCTCAGGTTTTCTTTTTTTTTTTTTTTTCATAGTAAGCACTATCAGACCAAAGGAAAGAAAAAATAATTATATAGAAAGAGAGAGGATTATATCAGATAGCTGGAGGTGAACAATAGGGTCTTTCAATCATTGTAACATATTTATTTACACACAGTAAAATTGCAGATAATCTATACTAGTATATCTCAAAGTATGTTCCCTGGAATGTCCCTTTATTCCCCTTCACACCCCCCACCCCAAAAGGACACTATGTGAAACAAGTTTGGATAACACTGCATACAACATTCCGTCTTAGATACTCACAATGTGTGCATCGATGTATTAAAGGCCTTGAAAAGTTATGCTGTATATAAGCCAACTAATTATAACCTATCATGTTCAAATTTATTAGACTTGGGAAATCCTTTTTAACAATGGATTCCCAAAAAATACATTTGGGAAATGCTTGTTTGTACATTCTGATAATAACAATCATGGTTGTCTATCCCAAGGAATAAAAGTTAAAGTTATTTTTCACCTCTGTTATTGTGCATGAAGTAATGATAATGACTATTTTGTTGCCGTATATTGGAGAAGAAAAGTCAATAAGATTTAATATCTGAGATACTATTCATAAGAACTGAGTATAAACTCTTGATATCCTTTCTGTAACAGAGAAATCCTACAAATTTCCTGTTTATACTTTAGGTAGTCCAACAACAAAAAATATGTTATCTTGAAAATACCTTGTATATTCATTTTCATCTAAAACATGTGTATAGGTCAAATTTAAAATATTTTTCTTTATAGATTCTAAGATCAATCTAGTAAAATGCATAAAATTGTAGGCATGTGGGTCTTTCTGTACAAATATAGGAGAAACATGCTTACATAGTTAAAAAAGAAAAAGTTTTTTTTTTTTTTTACCAGACCCCAATGAGGATATTAAAAAAACAAAACAAAACAGAAAAACCCAACTGTTTATAAACACATTTACAAAGCAAAAATAAACCTATAATATATTAAAGTTAAAACATGTTCTCTACTAATTTTTCAGATTTTAAAAATAACTGTCAAGAAAATGTTTTAATTCTAATGGAGCACAAAGAATATAGCTTACTGGTTGGTAAGTAAAGTTACTTTATTATAATACTGATAGTGGAATAAAATCGATACACTCAACTTGAACATGCAGGGGAAATACAAATTAATGTAAACAGATGATTTTCAGCACATTCTTTCACTAGAATGTGATCACCTGCCACGAAGTACACAAGCTCATGCACAAGATCAAGACGTTACAATACAGCTGAGATCACAATGTCATGCATGTAACAACAGCGTGCTAGATAATCATACCACAAACTGTGCAGATGTTCTCCCCCACCCCATGAGCCACTGCCAGCAGTTGCTGTGGAGTTTGGTTACCCATATCCGTGACATGAACGGTGTCCTTTGGAGAATCTTGTTCCCTGTGGCTGTAAGTATTCTTATTTTTATAATATTTAATGATGCTTGTTATCAAAATGTTAAGTACAAAACTAGAAATTATGAAAAAATAGACTTTTTACAATACTGAACAATTATATATATCTTATCTCAGGCACTTACAATAAACAACACTTACATTTATACATACTATCGAAACAAATTTTCTGCTCAGAGTTAAACAAACCCAAGATAATGTCTGACGACAGTGTTCCAGTGAGTGGGGGGGAAAAAAAAATCAATCTCCAACAAGTACTTCTTGATTTCTAGCACTCAAAAAGCTTGGCAAGAGTCATTCTCATAGCCTGGCTAAAGTATGACTAATACAGATAAGTCCTAGATAAGAACATCTATTATGATAACACAATTATATGATCTCAATTTTGAAGACTTGACTTGGCAAACATTATTTAAATTAGTCAATGAAAGAAAGTACAGAATAAAGTCTTTAAAATACTTCCCTTCATTTCTCTGAACCTTGTAAGTGTATTTCAACATCCTTTTTTGCCTATTTATATTCTAAGTACATTCTGGTAACGATAATTCTATTTTGCTATTAGGCAACACCTGCTAAATTACTAATGTTCATAAAAGTGTAGAATCAGAATTCTGGAACCACAAGACAATTTGAGTGGTTCAGCTTTATGACTCTTGGCAGCACTATATGGCTTTTTAGAACGTGAATTCAATACTTCTGTATTACTCCAGAATACCTTTAAATCAGGCCAGGGAGTAAAGAAAAAGAAAATACAGCCAACTCTCAATAACATAGAAGATAGGATGGATAAGTAAAATCTAAAGATCTAAAAATCTTACATTAATTCATAACTTCAGCACCCTTTTTTAGCAAACATTTGGCTTAAAAATCTAAAAAAAATTTGTCGGATACAAAAAGGACTTGAATTTCACCTCTATTCTCTGCCTCCTCCTAACACTCTAGAGGAGGTATTAACAAGAACTGTATAGACTGATATACGTAACTGCAAAAATAGAAACATATTTTTACATCTCCAGTTTACATATTTAAAACTATCTATATCATATTCTAGTATATGAGGACCTACATATATTTTCACCTTTGCATTTGTCTTTATAATTTGTTTAAAAATTGGTACTCCTTTGGCAAGGAATGACTACTTACCATAATCAATATCAGCAGTTACATCCAACTTTTCTGACTTTATAACAATCTACAATTTAGTACTTACCAAGTTACATTTCCTTAGAATGTAACATTTGCAAATGACATGAATTCATGATGACAGTTTTACTCTACATCAATATAATTCATGACTGAAGCCAGTATGCCTTGATAAATTGGGCATAATAAGACTGGGCTTTACAACATCTTCCTCTTCTGATTCTTATGAATTTAAAGTAAAGCACTGTACTATTCTGCCTCAGTTCTTCTCCAGTAATCATCATTCAATTATCTCAAAAGACTGATGCAAAATATATATCTTACTATAAAGATCATCATATGAACTGTTTTAATTATCAACAAGTAATACCTAATTCTGATAAAGAACTAAGAATAATGAAGTCTCCGAAACCATGCCATTCTTGGAATACATAAATGTAGTAAAATCTCTTGTACAGAGCAGTATGCCACAGTACAAGATGAAACAGGTGACATGCATACATTGCTATATGCTTACAAAGAAGATAACTTGGATTTGAACTAAAATAAAATAAAAACAAGTGTATTTTATGATAAAAGGCATCAGAAAAAACTTTCAATAAAGGGACAAGTAACAAAACCTAAATTTATGATAGTTTATCCATTCATTTGCCTTTCTAAAGAATGGTCATTAGATTCTAAAAAGCAATATTAAATTGGTTTCAAACGTATAATTTGAACTTTAACTTCTTATATATCATTCTACTTTCATTAAAAGTATCAGTTTTTTTTTTTTTTTTAAAAGATGACCGGTAAGGGGATCTTAACCCTTGACTTGGTGTTGTCAGCACCACGCTCAGCCAGTGAGCGAACCGACCATCCCTATGTGGGATCCGAACCCGGGGCCTTGGTGTTATCAGCACCACACTCTCCCGAGTGAGCCACGGGCCGGCCCAAAAGTATCAGTTTTTTATTCATTGAAAATAAAACCTCCTTAAACAGTGGTGAAGGAAAGACTACAAATACCTGAATTTAAATATTATACCATGCTTTATAATATATACACTTTGTTATATTTGTGGGGAAAAGACTTAACTGATATGCAGTATGTGTATCAGTAAACCTTAGCAATGGTGTTTTATTTTATTTTCTATTTATGTACCAAAAAATTAACAAAGAAAGAAACCATGCATAAGAAGTAAAAATCAATTTATTTAAAAAATATCATTGGTATAACTATATGCCTGTGTGTGAAATCAGTATTTCTGTTTAAGATTCAAATATTTTACATGGGAGAAACATCTCCCTAATTATAAAAGAAGCTGAGATAATTTTAGAAAATATTTGGCTGCTTGATTTAAAAAGTCTTCAATACCTCTACAACAAATGAAAAAAGTTGGTTTTTGAAAATTAAAATAATTCAGCCAGTTAAATTTTTCCACAGAAAATAATACACCCAGAAGCAGTAGTTCTGAGTATTGTATAATTTCCACTCAGATTTCTAAGAATACGTCTAATAGATAATTAAACATTTCTGAAAATCTGAACTTTTCCAGTATATATTAAAATGAGAATAGGAAAGAAAAATCAGTGAAAGAATTGTCTCACATTTTGATCAATTTAGATATCATATTAAAAAAGAATTAAATAATTAATACAAAATTATTCAATTTTATAATAGAATCTATAAGTGGTTTGTTTTTTTTGTGTTTTTTTGTTGATCTGGGCTGGTTGGTACAGGGATCGAATCTTGGATGTTAGTGTTATCAACATCACACTCTTATCAACTGGGATAGTGGCTATCCCAGGAGTTTCTTTGTCAGCAAGGAATTATATTGTTAAAGGCATTATTTAAAGACAACATTTTGATATGTCAGAACCTACAATGATGTCTCTGTGATTATCTCTGATAATGGCAGCACACCTACTAAATAAAAACAATAAACAGGAAGAAAATGCTGCAGTTAAAATCTGATGAACATATTCTATGCTCTCATCATATTTTGTCCTCTTCACTTATAATGTACTAATATCTCAATCAGGTCACTAGAGGACTGCGTATATATCTCGGATGCTGCCATACAAAGTGAGTAGGTAGATTATAATGTGACATGGTAAGGTAAATAAAAATGACTATGTCTTAGAGCAATAACATACTGGGCTTCTTAGTAATTGAAAAGGTACATTCAACGACTTGTTTTTCCTGCAAGTTTATCATATTGGAAAGCTGCAGCAAGATAGTAATAAAGTTCACCTGATACAAATACTCAAGTTCCTCACTTACCTCATCTGGGTTGGCATTAAAGGTGAGGCTGCCTTCATCCAGCTGCATATACAATTTTCTAAAGGAAAATCCTAGAGGTGGGCTCTTATTGTAAATGGAACAGTGACCCCAAGTGGATTTGCACAACCTGTAAAAATAAGAGAAAATGAGACAAGAAAACATTAGTATACTTAATTTCCTCGGTTAAACATGAATACACATGATAAAATAGTAACACTGAAATGATATAAGATTGGGTTTTGGAGCTCTAATGTTTAAATATTTAATTTTATACTTGTTGTTTATTTACTAGAGTATGATAGATGCCTTAAATTTAGCAATTTTGATAGCACCTAATAAACGTGAGTGACAAAGATTAATAATATTCATGAGTAATATCTTAAGTTAAACAAACTATTAATAACAGTAATAATAGCTAACAGTTACTGGGTTCTTACTAGATGTCAGGCACTATTTTAAGTATTTTAACTATATTAACTTGCTTAATCTTTCTAGGATATTGGTGCTACAGATAAGAAAAACAGAGATGAAAAAGTTGCCCAAGATCCCACAGCTAATATATGTAGAGGCAGGATTTGAACCAATGAATCATACTCCAGAGCTTGCAATCTTAACCAAGAAGCCAAGCAGAATCTATTAAGTAACCTAAATGTGTTTTATTGTGAAAAAAATCTAAGTGGGGGGGTCAACCTTTTGCTTTTTTGACAATACATATATTAATAACAGATAAACATAGAAACTGTAATACCACACAACATCAATACATACATCAAAAGCTGTGACGTTAAACATAGCTATTTGAAGATACTATTTCAAAAACACTGGTTCTTTACTTGTTTTTGTTTCACAGTGTTGGACATGCTTTGTGATTTGTCATCACAGTTATACACGAATATTTAAAAGTTCTATAAAACCTAAAATACTAACAGTTTATATTTCAAAACACTATTTTCTGCAGATTGGGATAGTTGTTTCGATTTCTGGACAGAGGCAATAGCTACTGGTTATTATTTAAAAGCTTAAGTTATACTGCCTGGAAATTCTGGATTTGTACCTAAGAGCCTTAAAAATAAGTGCATTACCCTAGAGATGCAGAGAATACTGAAATTATATTTCGAAACATTTTAATAAGTCTTTGCCTAAAAATTGTGATTTTTTTTTGTATGTCCAAAAACACCTGCTACTTGTTGAGACAAAGTAGTTTCACTTTCTGATATTTATTATTGATTTTTGCTTCAAACTTCCTTCTTTTCACGTACATACAAAGTACAGGAAAATAAGAAGTTATTGTCTCAGACTATAACATCAAAAATTGTGAGGATAAGTGGGTAAAATCTAATTTAACACAAAACTAACCTAGTTAATTTATACCCTTGCATTATTTTTACCAACCAAATGAAATTATTGATTTTAAAATTGTAAATATAATAAATTATTTAGAAAATTATCAATATTTTAAGTCTCTTTAATTTAGTTCCATAGCTTTCGAGTTTTATTACTAAGCCATATGAAAGCAACAGAACCTCCCAATATCAATAAGTATTCAACATATCCAAAGTTAAAATAAAAATTAAGCCAGGCTTTAATTTCAAATAGAAGAAATTTATCATTAAGAAAAAAAAAAAAAAAATCCGGGCCGGCCTGGTGGCGCACTGCTACAGTGTGCCGCTTGGGAAGCGTGGCGGCGTTCCCGCCAAGGGTTCGGATCCCACATTCAGACCGGCCACTCACTGGCTGAGCGAGGAGCGGGGGCAACACCGAGGGTTGCGATCCCGTTGCCGGTCCCGGTCCGGTACGGGCGCGACACTGAGGGTTGCGATCCGTTGCCGGTCACGAAAAAAGACAAAAAGGAAAAAAAATTGTGTAATCTTTAAAAAAATCTATAGGTAACTGAACACTCTGAAAACAAATTACAACCATAAATGAAATGTTAGCAGATTGACTCCAATGGTACTTTAGTTCCAGCGTTTTCTTTAGTGTGAGAGGAGCTTTGTGAGTGGTGGCATGGCAATTCGCTGTCTTTGCTGTGGCCTCCTCTCTGCTGCGCTGCTTCTTTGCAGGTTTTCTGTATGTAACACTTCTTGAGTTTTTCTCATTGTCCAAGTGTCATAAAAATAGGAAAAATTATATGGCATACAATAAAGGAAGCATTTCTTTCAGTGATGAACAATCAAGATTTAAACCCCAAATGAATACATTCCTATTGAATTCAGATAAGCTTAAAAATAAATTTTAGGATGTTCAAATAAGGCACAAATTAATTTTGTGGGAAATACTAAAATGTAGAAAAGAGATCATAAAGAATAACCTGGTTTTAAAATGTTTTCATTTCCTTCTTACATTTCATGTAAGTATACGCTTACATAATGATTAAAAAATTAATAACTGTTATTTATTTTAAACATTACTAATAAATAGAATTTCCTTTTATTTACACAGTATTTCCACTATAAAAAGGCAATAAAAGAATAACAAGATAATATTGATGATTTTTATCTATTTAGAGGTTAAATCATTATCTATTTAGAGTATATGACCTATATGATTATATGACCTATATGACCTATATGATTTATACTAAAGTATAATCCTGTGACATCAGGAAGCCTAAGTTAGTAATGCCATTACTGAAAATACATTTTTACTAAATTTTGCCAATTTAGATTAATTTATTAATTCTTTCCATTAGATTTCCAGTTAGAAATTATTTAACGTCTTAAGACTTTTGTTTCCATATGAAGTCTAATTTTAAAATAATGAGAATGAAATAAACTTTCATAAAGGAAGCTAATAAATCTGAGATCTAATGATTCTTCTATGTTTGGTAACATCTTCAGGACTCGAAAAAAAAAAAAACCATGTACCTATAATTTTTAAGTATATGATGCTATTTACAGAATAACTTAGATTCAATAAAACATTCTATTCCCCCAAATGTTCTTAGATTGGTAGTTTAAATTTAAACTGGTCTATTACCTGCTAAAATTGCTAGAACCTACTTTAAATACCGCAAGTAGATTATTTATCACCTTGCTTTCTAATATTTACCTACTTAATGGACGAAAATTTTCACCAGTTAGTTTATGCTAACAAGCCCCTTCGATAAAAATAAATATATAAATAAGTCAAAACACACACACATACTCCATTTGCAACCAATGAAGAGTAACACTTGAGGACCACTTACTGATTTTTAAATATGCCTGTTCTTCAGTTGGGATACCCGATGGGGAACACAAACTACACAAGGGATGTGAACACTCCAAGTTTTGGGTAATTTCTCACTTTATAATTTTGTTGTAATTTTAGAATAAACTGACAATTTCTGATTTATAATAAACAGACTCATCTCAATTAGGAATCTCTCTTCTAATTGTAAAGTCATTATTCTATTTTCTTTTCTACTATCTTATTTCCTCAGTATTGAATTTGACTGTGATGATAACTGTATCCCAGTTAAAAAGAAATATTTCGTAATACATATATATTATAAAAAGAACATTTCATCATGATTATGTTTAGAGATACCTGAATCATATGCTGGTGGGCTTAACTTACCCTTGCCAGAGAAGTTCATCATTAGCGAGGTCCTGCCAAACACATGAAGCCAAGCAGAGGTCAGTTGCATTCAGGTAGGACAAGATGGTAAAGCTTAGCTCAGGAGGCAACATCTCCAAATTAATGAATCCTTCCTGTTCTTTAGATTTCCTTGCCTTCAAAAGATGATATATGTCAATGCCTCCTTGGACTTGTTTGCGATGATTGGTGTTAGAAATGTTGCTCATAGCCATTCTCCTGCTCTGCTCTCTGGTGAGGTAGCCTTGCTCACTATAGCCTTCCTGTTGTAGCTGCTGGTTTCTGGCCACTCTCCACAGCCCCTGACCCATCTGCAAGGCTGGGAGAAAGCCAGAATATAATAAGGGTGACATTTAAAAAATAACCCACTTTCTCCCAGTGGTATAACAAATTTAACATGAAGCATTCATTTAGCAGAATTAAGATTCCTCATTAAAGTCTATTAAAACCAGTAGTACATTACAAAGAACAATTGGAACATTCTAAGTGCAAAATTTGGATAAAGAAAGTTTAAGACATATTTGGTTTGATCATCACCTTTATCTCAGTTTGCTAACTACTTTTAAAGTCCACAGGTGACATAATCATTTTTCACATGGTAAGATTTAAAAGTTACTGATGTCCTAAAGACTGTTACAAATTATAATTATGTGGACTTATGGCCCAGTATTAAATACAGCTCTGATCAGAGCACAGGACTTCAGTTAAAAGGCCTCCAGACCCTGCTTTTTATCACAATTCAGGCTAGGCTAAGCTAGCCCCTTTTAACCAAACTCCCAGATGCATAACAGCTGTGAAACAGACTTTTAGTTTAATTCTTGCCAGTCTACACTTACATTGTAGGCTATAATAAAATGTAACATAGGCCCTGAAGTCTAATTCAGAAACCTTATAAATTACACACCTAGAAGTCTATGATAAATAACTCAGGAACAGCTATTTGGTTTTGTTGTTGCTTTAAACTAAAAATAATTTAGACTAATTTTCTAATTCTTTTCCAGATACTTCAGAGGTACCTGGGAAAAGGCATGAGAAGAAGATGTGTTCCAGTCTCCTCCACCTCCATTTGACCTCCAACTAGAGCAGCTCTACATTTATCTGTTACATAAATTGGGCTTTCCTATATTCAAATATTTAGAAAATGACTGGCCTAGACTTCTTATTTGGCTTACCTTTAAAATAAGTAGTTTTTCCTGAGTAAATAAATTGACCGAGTTGAAACTAAATCAGGAATAGCTTTTAACTAATACAAATTATTATTTTCATGATCTTTTTTTCAAATAAAATATTCTTGTTTTATCAACCCCAGTTGACTAATAAACACCTGTATGTGTTTTAAAAATTTGGAAAAAAATACTTTCACTAAATAATCATTAAAATAGTCAAATAACTTTCACAGCATGACCTGAACTTAAAATATAATTTTGTTTTAATTAGCTATTTACAAGGACTAACAAAAACAAAAGCAAAAAACCAGAAAAATGACCAAAAAATTTGAAGATTATTAGGAATAATTTGAAAGTAGAACTTCGAAGAATGTCAAAGATTTTTTTAAAAAAAATATATATATATTTTTTTTGCTTTTTGTCTTTTTCCGTGTCCGGCAACGGATCGCAACCCTCAGTGTCGCCGGATAATGTGATTCAGAAAGCATCCAACAGGTGAAAAGAGGTAAAACCAGCAGATGGTTCTTAAAAAAAAAAAAAAAAGATACGGAGGGTGGAGGGTTGAGACTCATGTATATACACTGTTCAGACAAAGAAAGGTGCAAGATTATACCTCATTTTCTATTCTCCTTCTGCTAAACAATACTGCAAATTGTCTCTTTGGGAATTCCTTTTCCCTTTAAAGCAGTTTTTTGATTCTGGGTAAAAACACAACATGATAAACCACTCTGAGGAAAATTAATATCATAAGTTTAGCATTTGGATAAAGAAAAGGGTGTCTATAGTTCTATCCCCACTCTCAATCTTCCTTAGGATAACAGGGATGTGGAATACGGGTGTAACTGCCAGAAAAGTGATAAAAAAAACTCAAAAAGAAGTAACATCCACTGTATAAGTTGTGGAGCAAGTCACGGAGGGAGCACAGTGTTGTGGGCTTTGAACTCAGACAGACCTGAATTTGAATCTTGTCTTCATTTGTTATTACTAATAGTACCATGGGGAAGTTTCATGACTACTCTACACTTTACTTTCTTCTTATGTAATGTGGAATAATGATAATAATACTTCAACTGTCTTGTCCTGCTTGCTGAATTAGCCCATTTATGTTGATACTTGCACAGCTTTGTGGGGCTTATACATACAATTCTCTATCGCCTTTAGTTATCTCATATTTTGCCATTGTTATTTTTTTCTTGTAAATGAAATTCTTTTATATCAATGGTGAAACCAAAACAAACAAACAAACAAAAAAACAAACAAACCCCAAAACCATAAAAAACAAAATAGCCTGTATTATCTTCCACAAAAGATTTCAAAACTCAGTATGCCTGATGATAATGCCAATAGCAGTGTCATGAAACAGGTTCTTGTGTTATCATTAGTTATGAGTCAATACCTGGCTCTAAAAGAGATGTAAAATATGATATAGTTTCATGCTGGTTCTTGCATGATTTCAAATTCTTGAAAGCAGGTGTTTGGACTGAACCAATCAAAACTTTATTTCAAAGAGACACACATCAAACAAGGTTTTTTAAAATTAGTTTATGAAAATATTGCGATCAGAGTAGGAACTTAACCTGTATTTTTCCTAGGAACAATGGTTTGGTATTCACTAATTCAATATTTGTAGCCAACTTTATAGAACAACTACTGCAAATAACAAGAATCAACTGTATTTCTTTTATTTGTGTATGAAATAGGTTAATTATGCTCTTATAAGAGTACATATTTTTTCCAAGAAAGAAATTCAATTGAAAAAAAAAATTAAACACAAAACAAGGTTTTGTATTTGAAATTACTAGTTTTGGTGTAAATATGGATTTTGTGATGAAACGTCTGCTGATAATTTATTTGCTCACTCAAAATAGATGGAAGAAAATAGGTATTTCTCATTTTATGTGTTTCTGTTTATAGATACTTTATCTAACATATATTGTTAATTCATTAATATTGTAACTCAGGACCAAAAGCACTATAACACATACCTGAAGAAAGATTATCTGACACACCTATCTTCTCTCTAAAGCACATCACTTAGCAACACAAGGCAACACTTAAACCCTATGTTTACAGGCCATCTTATATGCCAAAATCACTAATAAAAATCACAAAAAATGTGAAAAACATGGCCCTATGAGCAGGCCACAAAAAGGACATTTGTTCACAATGAGAGCTAATACAGAAAGCAGAGCCTTGCCATGTTCAACCTTAGGTGGAAACATGTATTTTGAACAACTTAAATTTTTTGCATCTCTGTGCATGTTCACTAATGACTGCAAAAGAGCAAGTGGTATTGATTTGGGGGACACAAATAAATTTTAGTGAGTATGCAAATTCACAAACACAAAATCTACAAATAATGAGAACTGACTGTAAATTAATACCACTCAAGATGTCCCATGCCTTTTCTTTCAAATTTGAATTTATTTTGTTTAAAGCTTCTTTATCATGTTGAGAGGTTCTATAAAATTCCTCCTAAGAAGCTTCAAAATGAAACCAAAGAGATTTTCTCTTGGTTTCCAAAAGTGGAAACATTACTTCATTATTTGTCATCTGACAGAAATAAACAGAAATTTCATAAGTACTTAGGTCACAGAGGAGAATTTCTGCTAACAAAAAATTCTCTAGAAGATTTCCAAGTTGAAACTCTTCCTTTTAGAGGAGAAAAAAAGATTATGGGGGAAAATCAAGGCAATTGTGACATTGTATTTTCTCATGATTTGTCATGATGGTAATAAAATTAATATTTACAACCAAAGATTCAGATACTGTTTAGTAAATTTAAATTTACACTTTACAGAGAGTGATGAGCACAAAATAAAACAAATCTCAGAACTCCTTTTTAAATCAAAGTACCAAATGAAGCAATGGCTAAACGGGGAAATTAACATGATCCAAGAATTTCTGTTTTCTTGGAATTATGCAAACACAGCTATCAATTACTTTTGACCGTTTTAATATAGTAGTCAAGAAATGTTCCTTGTACCTCAGAGCTATTATATAGTTTTTTGGCTCAGGGGTAAAATATTCATGTTCAATCTACACTGTCTGCAAATACACTCATGTAGCATGGTAGTAGAGAGGTGACTCAGAAGCCTGACACTAAAGGTGGATAAATGTGTCAAAACAGCTGAGAGGGAGCCATTTATCAATTTAAGCTCATATATAAGAAATTCATATTTTGGTTTGTTTATTATCATATCTTACATTTCAAACTTAATTTTCTGTTCCTAGAGTCCTATGCTACCATAGCACAATAGCTGGGATGGTGTAAATGGAAAGTAACATGATTTTAGAAAGATTCCAGCATTATTCAAAAATAAACAAAGCCTTTGAAAAATATTTACCTAAAAGACTGCAAAAAGCTTCTTTATTAGCCAAAGGTCCCTTTATAAAGCAAACAGCCGCTATTACCTTTAAATGATCTCTATCTAAGAACATTTTAGCGAAGTTACATCCAGAGTCACCATGCATATATGGTGTTTTTCCTTCCAAAAAGGCTCTTTTGGTATTAAATAGCTTATTTTTAATATCCTAAACTTTAAAGTTGTTTCAATTCATGCTAACATGGTGTATTAGTCCATTTTGTGTTGCTATAATGGAATACCTGAGACTGGGTAATTTATAAAGAAAAGGTTTATTTGGCTCATGATTCTGGAACAGTTGCATCTGGCGCTAGTCTCAGGCTGCTTCTACTTGTGGCGGAAAGTCACAGGCAGAGGGCAGGTACAAGCAGATCACATGTCAAGAGTAAGCAAGAGAGGGGGGGGTGCCAGGGTCTTTTAAACAACCATCTCTCATGGGAACTAATGGAGGGAGAACTCATTCACTGCCCCCACCCCCACAGGGAGAGCATTAATCCATCCATGAGGGATCCGCCCCCATGACTCAAACAACTTCCAACACTGCCATACTGGGGATCAAATTTCCACATGAGTTCTGGGGGGACAATACACCCAAACTACATCACACAGTTTTAGGAGCAGGTTTTAAACCAGTACTAGGACAAGTATAAATGGTAGAGTACCATTTCATTAACATGATTTGTGATTTATAAGATGTTGGACAGAAGATGGAAGAAACAATGTTCTTACTCAGTTTTGAAAAAAATCTTTACAGTTAACTCTTGAATTCTTGTAAGATGGAACATATA